CACGAGCCACCACTTGACCCACTGAAGGTAGATGCTGGACATCCGCAGCGAGACCCCTGCTGCTCCGCTGGCCCTTCTCACAGCTGCTGAACTTCTAAATGTCTTTCTCCTGGAGCCTCCAGTTCTCCCTATCCCCTCACTTTTGGGAAAATTATCTCCCATCTCTACTCTCTCCCTCTGAGCTGTGGGAGCCTGTCCACCCCCAAGCCCTTGGGTATTTTCTCTCCCAGGCTCACGCTGACCCCAGTGCCTCTGCCTGCATCCTGCCACTCCGCTCTGCTGAAGGCCCGGTCTCCTATTATACTCCTTATTGCCCATCGTCTCTAACTTTTCCCTCCTCTGTGACTTCTTATCCCTGGCCTATTAATAGGTGCAGGTGGCGTAGTCGTTCAGTGCTATGGCTGCTAACCAAAAGGTTGGCAGTTCGAATCTACCAGCTGCTCTTTGGAAACTCTGTGGGCAGTTCTGCTCTGTCCTGCGGGGTCACCGTGAGTCGGAATCAACTCGACGGCAGTGGGTTTGGTTTTTTGGTTCTTTCACCTCTCCAGCTGTCTGGTGATGGCCCCCGTCTTTCTGGATGGCCCTCCATTTGATGGTGCGTTTCCTGCCTTGCCCCATTCTCCTTAGGTCTCAGTTCAGTGTTCCCTTTCCCTGGAGGCCTCAGTGACCCTCCCGTCTGGGCTATAACCATTCCCATGGGCCCTGCCCCAGCACCCCGTCCTTCCTCACCATAGTGACACTGACCACACGCATGCACAGTTGTTCCCTTGCCCCTACTGGGCTGTAATGAGGGCAGGGTCTGTGGCAGAGTTGATGATACAGGTGGATGAACAAACCCACCCCATCCTGCCAAGGCCACCTATCCTCCAGCACAGACACACTCACTCTCACCTGGATAAAGTGGGTCATTTTGGGGGGCACTCCTACAGGTCTGGAGAGATAGGGTAAGGGCCTCTGGCTTCCTCAGAAGAAGCCCCACACAGTACCCCAAAAGGCAGAAGAGGCACCCGGGTATGCTTTCACTGTTTCATAGGCTAGCTCCAAGGGCCCTTAGAGGCCGTCTCATTGCTTGCTTTAGAAACGAGGAGACTGCACCCCCGAAGTGAGATGGCCAAGGTCAAGTGCAAGGTCACAGCAGAGCCAGGAAGAGCACGCAGGCCACTCCGCTTGTCTGGTTAATCGCTTCCCGTCTCAGTGAATGTTTAACCACATCCCACGTCAAGTCCCGACCTCTGCCCTCGGGCTGTGAACAGAACCATTTCCCGCAGGAGGCACGTCCGCTGGTCCCGTGGCTCGGCATGCTGGCGACCTCCACGCGTGGGATGTCCTCTGCGAGCTGGGAAACCGCGGATGGAGTGGGCTGTGAGCCCGCATTCATTACCCGTGGACTCCGTGTTCGTACAGCAGTTACAGAAATTGTTGCGGTGCCCTCTCTGTGACATGTGATTCAAGAGGGCTTTGGGGCCGAACCCGGTGATGGGAGCGGTGGCCGCAGGCGGCGTTTTATGTGCTCTACCTCCTGAACCTGCACCTTGCTGGCATGTTTTCCTGCAAAACACAAAGATGCCCTGAGGAGACTGGCGCCCAGGTCTTGGTTTTGACCTTGTAGGTGTATTTGAACCGTACGTCTGTTGGGAGCCTTTTCACTTAGCTGGCCCAGAGAGACGGGCAGGTGGAGCGGTGGGCAGTGAAACGGGCTTAGCCTGAGTCTCGCTGGTTACTTGTTATAGTTGCTGGGGCCTCGGTTTCCTCTGCTGTAGAATTCTGAACCTCTGATTTAGAAGCCAGCCAGTCAGAAGTGCAGAGCAGGAGCATTTTCTTTGACCACACAGGCAGCCCCCGCCGACGAGCAGAGTCCCAGCTTCCCACTGTGGTGTCCTGGCCCTTCCCGTTCCTCCAGCATCTTTATCACCCCCTGCTGCCCGCTTTGGACCAGCCCCGCGACACTGTTCATCCCAGCACATACCGTGGTCAGTGACCCGGACACTGGGAGACGGAGAACAAATCTAAGCGTGCACAGTGTGGTGTTCTTACTCCTGCGACCCCTGTTACGCTCTCCAGGGAACGGGAGGGAGTGTGGGAGCTCACCTTTAGTAACTACGCTGCTGGTACAGGTGGTCAGAAGTCAAGCTGAGGGTTGAGACTGGCAAATGCTCTCCAGGCCATGACAAACTGGAGCCCTGGTGGCGCAGTGGTTAAGAGCACAGCTGTTACCCAAAAGTTCGGCAGTTTATATCCACCATCTGCTCCTTGGAAACCCTGTGGGGCAGTTCTGCTCTGTCCTATAGGGTCGCTATGAGTCAGAATCAACTCAATGGCAATGAGTGTTCTTTTTTTTTTTTTTTAATGTGGCTTAAAACAACAGAAACATTGTCTCACGGTTCTGGAGGCCAGACTCTGTATTCAGGGTGTCAGCAGGGCCATGCTGTCTCCAGAGGCTCTCGGGAAAGACCCTTCTGGCCTCTCCCAGCTTCTGATGGCCCTGGGTGTTCCTGGGCACGTGGTGGCATCGCTCCCGTCTCTGCCTCTGTCCTCACATGGCGTCTTCCCTGTGTGTCTGTGTCTCTGGGTCACTTCTCTTTTTATAAGGACAGCAGCCATATTGGATTAGGGACCACCACACTCCAGTATCATCTCATGGTAACTAGTAGCATCCTCAAAGACCCCATTTCCAAACAAGGTCACATTCATAGGTACCGGGGTTAGGACTTCAACATCTTTTTGGGGGACACAATTTGATGCATATCACCCTGGTTTCCAGGGACTTTGTGTTGAACCTGTTACTCATGTTGGACCCTGGAGTTTGTATCTACCTCATCCTTAAGAAGGAAAAAGCCAAACCAGACCCATTGCCACTGAGTTGATTCTGACTCAGAGCACCCCTACAGGACAGAGTAGGACTGCCCCATAGGGTTTCCAAGGAGCAGTTGGTGGGTTCGAACTGCCGACCCTTTGGTTAGCAGCTGAGCTCTTAACCATGGAGCCACCAGGGAGGAGAAGGTGATTTTATTTAATGGCTCGTACGCTTGTTCTTTTGGCTTCTTCAGGCTGCCCTCTGCTGGGCAGCAGCAGAAGTCAGCTCGGGGGACAGGGCTGGGGCCTCCGCTTCTGTTGTGGATTGAACTATGTCCTCCAAAAATATGTGTTGTAATTCCTAACCTCTATGCCCGTGGTTATAATTCCACTTGGGAATGGTTGTCTTTGTTATGTTAGTGAGACAGGATTAGTGTGGAGTGTGTCTTGAGTCAATCTCTTTTGAAATATAAAAGAGATTAAACAAGCAAGCTAGGAAGCAGAAATGGAGGAAGAGATGCCAAGCCACATGAAGATCGCCCAGGAGCAGAAGCTCAGAAGAGACGAGGACCTTCCTCCAGGGCCGGCAGAGAGAGAAAGCCTTCCCCTAGAGCCGGCTCCCTGAATTTGAATTCCTAGCCTTTTAACTGTGAGAGAATAAACTTCTGATTGTTATAGCCATCCACCTGTAGTTTTTCTGTTACAGCAGCACTAGATGACTAAGACAGCTTCTGATACTCATACAGGGAGTCAGGAAAGGAGATGCTGACAGACAGGTGGTGGAATTTCTTTGCTGATGCTACTCAGCCAGGCTCATTTTCTATTAACATAGAAGGGTCCAATCCAATTGCCATCGAGTCAGTTCCGACTTACGGGGGCCCCATATGTGTCAGAGTAGAACAGTACTCCATAGGATTTTCAATGGCTAACTTTTCAGCAGCTTGCCAGGCCTTTCTTGCCAGGACTTGAACCTCCAACCTTTCAGATAGCAGCTGAGTGCGTTAACCAGTAGGGACCCCTAACCATCAGTGATGTGTAGGTTTCCTGGAGCTTCCTGGTTATGTTACTGACTACTGTTTCCAGCTTAAGAAGGGAGAAATCTGGCAGCGTCTGAGATATGCAGACTTTGGAGGCCCTTTCTAAAGTTTGAATTTGCAACGTAGCAGTTAGAAGCTCGAGGGAATACTAGTTCCCTCTATTACTAGTTGTGTAGATCTTGGGCAAGTTGAGTAACTAACTTACCCTGGTTTTCCTGGAGCCTTCTCAGTCTTGGCATTGAAAATCCCATGTCCTGAGAACATTCTCAGCCCTGGGCAAACTTGGATGGTGGTCACCGTACAAGTAATTAACTTCTCCAAGACTTAGTGTCCCTCAGCAAAAATAACATTACCTACTTTGTAGGGTTCTTCTGGGGATGTAATGGGATAGCTCACACGTGTGCTAAGCAGGGTTAGCTGTGACTGTTACAGTCATTTGTATCATTACCTTGCAATCTTCGAGAAGCCAGGAATATCTGAGAAACAATCCAGCACTAGGAGGAGATGCTGCCAGAGGCCCTGTAGGTCGGCCCCCTTCTTTTTTTTTTTTTATTGTTGTACTTTAAGTGAAAGTTTACAATTCAAGTTAGTCTCTCATATAAAAATTTATACATATATGGTTATGTGACCCTGGTTGCTGTCCTTATACTGTGACAGCACACTCCTCCTTTCCACCCCGGATTTCCCGTGTCCATTCAACCAGCTCCTCACCCTCTCTGCCTTCTCATCTCGCCTCTGGACAGAAGCTGCCCATTTAGTCTCATGGGAGACGGGGAACAAATCTAAGCCTGCACAATGAGGTGTTCTTATTCCTGAGACCCCTGTTTACTTGAGCTAAGAAGCACACTTCACGAGTATCATTTTATGTCCCATAGTCCAGTCTAATCTTTGTCTGAAGAGTTGGCCTAAGGAGTGGTTTTAATTCTGGACGGACAGAGAGTCTGGGGGTCATGCTTTCTGGGGTTCCTCCAGTCTCAGACCATTAAGTCTGGTCTTTTTACTAGAATTTGAGTTCTGTACCCCACTTTTCTCCTGCTCCCTCAGGGACTCTCTGTTGTGTTCCCTGTCAGGTTGGCCCCCTTCTTGAAGAGGCGTTGACTTGGTTGTTGGACTTCAGTTCAGCACAAAGGATAGATGACCCCTGAACTTTTTGCTCTGCCTGTGTTGTAGATTGAGCAGATGAGGAACGAACTACTTCAGGAGAGAACCGTGAGGCAAGACTTGGAATGCGACAAGATTTCCCTGGAGAGACAGGTGAGGGCACCTGGCCCATGAGTTCCTCACCCCCTCCTGTGGTTTCGGACTGGGACCCTCAGGTGCTCCCGCCTTTACTTAGCCCCCGAGAGCTCTGAGGGTAACTCGCCTGAGAGGCAGAGGTGTGTCTAAGGCCTTTCTAGACTGGCTTTTCCCAGTAATATTAAATCTTCTTAGAAGTCTGGCATCTGAGGAGCAGGACCATTGTAGATGTGTTCTAGCTCCTGAACTGGGATAAATTCTAATGTAAAGGAAATGAAAAAGAAACCAGTGATGTAACATCAAACACGTGAGTTGCTAAGAAGCTTAATTGAATAATTTCTTGTTCATATTATTCGTGTAACTTCTTCACTGAATAAGGTTGGTAAAGGGCCTATTTCTCCTACCCCCACCCCAGTGGGTTTATAAAAGGACACCAACCCCAAGCCTGTTTGTCTGACATCCAGTAGATGTATTTGGAGTTCAGGGACATCCAAAGATTTCATTCAGGCTTGCAGGGGAATGTAATATAATAACTTCTTCAGCACTAGGACTGGAGCTCAAGGTCTTCCCTGAAAACATCCTTGGATGCCCCTGGGTCCCCGGGCCATGCATCCAGGTGTGGAAAACAGCTTCTTGAGGCACCGCCCAAACACCTGCCTGCACCTGTGTTCAGCCCTGCTCAGCACAGAGAGCGAGGCGGAGACACAGCCCCTCACAGTCTCCCTGTAATTCCAGAACAAGGACTTGAAGAGTCGGATCATCCACCTGGAAGGTTCCTACAGGTCCAGCAAAGAGGGGCTGGTGGTGCAGATGGAGGCCAGGATCGCTGAGCTGGAGGACCGTCTGGAGAGCGAGGAGAGGTGAGCCCAGGCCACCTGTGGTGCCGAGGCCCTGGCAGCTAGGGGTGACAGTGGGCACCACCCAGGGATAGAATCACATCACAGAGTGTCTTTGGTTCAGTATCTCGTCCGATTCTCGGGAGTCCATGCAGCAAGCACAGCCTTGCTATGATTGTTTCCATTTTACAGATGAGAAAACTGAGGCCTAGCCAAGTAAGTGATTTGAGCAAGGCTGAACACTGGTGTAACTGGCCCCCCACTCCTGAGTCCACAGCTTTTTCACTGTGCTTGCCGCTCCCCTAGGTAGCACTGGCTGCCGCAGGCTACTCAACTGGCGCTTAGTGCCCTCTGGTGACATCTTGCTGGAGAGGGGCGGGGACTGACTCTGCCCCAGTGGCCACGTGTGTTCAGACAGAGTCCAAGTGGCCAGCTGTTAGACATGGAGCACGCCCGCCCCCGGTGAGTGGGAGGGATGTGGGACCAGATGGCCACCTTCCTTTCCAACACGATTCTCTGCAAAACAAAAACAAAAGCAAAAGCAAAAAGCACCAACCCCATTGCTGTCGAGACAATTCTGACTTGTGGTGATCCTACAGGACAGAGTAGAACTGCCTCACAGGGTTCCCAAGGCTATAATCTTTACAGAGTTAAGCACTCAACTGCTAACTGAAAGGTCAGTGCTTCAAAACCACCAGCAGCTCCCCGGGAGAAGGATGGGGCAATCTGCTTCTGCAAAGACGTACAGCCTTGGAAACCCTGTGGGGTCACTATGAGTCGGAACTGACTTGATAGCGACGGGTTAATCTTCACAGAAGCAGGCTGCCACACCTTTCTCCCAGGAGTGGCTGGTGGGTTCAAACTGTTGCTCTTTTGGTTAGCAGCTGAGTACTTTAACCCCTGCGCCACCAGGGGTCTTTCGATTCTCTGCAGCTAGCTCTCACGGCCTGAGGGCCAGCGCTGGGTGGAGCTTAACCAGCCTCAGTTCTTCCCAATGGCCCCTCACCTACGAGGCGTGTGAGTGTGTGTGTGTGAGTGTGTGTGTGTGTGAGTGTGTGTGTGTGAGTGTGTGTGTGTGTCTGTGCGTGCATGTGAGCGTGTGTGTGTGTGTGCGCGCGCATGCGTGTGTGTGCATGCATGTGAGTGTGTGTGTGCACACGTGTGCCTGTAACACTTTATCTGTTTTCAGTAGAACCTAGGGGCTGGCCTGGAGCAGCCTGGAGCTCACTCACAGTGTTCACAGTCCAGCAGGCTCCGGCCTTCTCGTAAAGCACAGCTGGGGGCTGGAAGAAGTCAGAGCACCTCCAGTGGCAGCCCAGTGACCTGGGCAGGTGGCCCCCTTCTCGGGACCCACTTCCTCCGTGTCTAGCCAGCAGCCTTCTCCTCCTCCATGCTTGTGTGTGTCCCTGACCCTAAGCCTGAGGCTCCTGGGCACCCTGGCCGAGCTTCACCTCCTCCCGGCCTGGGCCTGGTCCGCCTGTGGGCTGGGAATGAGAGGGTCCTTGCTTCTGCTTCCCCTGCCTTTCCAGGGACCGGGCCAACCTTCAGCTGAGCAACCGAAGGCTGGAGCGGAAAGTGAAGGAGCTGGTGATGCAGGTGGACGACGAGCACCTGTCACTGACAGATCAGAAGGACCAGGTGAGGGGCCCGCTGCAGGTTCCTTCTAAGCTGAGATTTTGTCTGTCCCGGGGGACATGAGGGGGGAAAGGCCCCATCTGGCAGCACTGGAGTCATGGCGGGCTGATGCCTCTCTTTCTTCTCAACCCAGTTACATCAGGGAATGGAGGAGGCTTCCTGGCCTGTTTTAGTAAACTTCAAATGCTGAACTTGGCTTTTGAACAGTACATTGTCTGTCTTAGAGTCCCATCTCCACTTCTCCCATGACACTGGTTGCCCCTTTGCCCATAGTTTGGTTGCCTGGAGAGGGTGGCTGGGCCACTGCGACAGTTCCCCATTCCGCTGAGCTGGACTGTGGCCCAGCACCTAGCTGCCCTCTGTCCCACTGCAGCTGAGCTTACGCTTGAAGGCAATGAAGCGACAGGTGGAGGAGGCTGAGGAGGAGATCGACAGACTGGAAAGTTCTAAAAAGAAGCTGCAGCGGGAGCTGGAGGAGCAGCTGGATGTGAATGAGCAGCTGCAGGGACAGCTCAACTCCATGAAGAAGGACTTAAGGTGGGCGAATGCAGTGGCCCTCAGGGCTGACAGTCCCCCTGATGTCCGAGGAGAGCGGTCCTCTCAGGCCCTCTCACCTCTGTTGGCTCGAGCCGGTCCCTCCTTATTGCCTTTTGAAGTCATCCAGCTCTAGAGATGGGGGGGGGCTGTGGCCCCATGTGCTCAGCAGGGTCTCACATGTGCCGTCCCCGTACCAGTGACCCATGTCAGCAGGACAGGTGTTATCCCTGTGGTACATAAGGGGAAATTGAGACTCAGAGCAGATAAGACTACTCACAGCATCACAGAGGGGCACCTCCCGGCCCAGCACTTGTATCACCTGCTCTTACCTGACGCAGGTAGGAGTAAGGTGACGTGTTGGTTTATCTCTTCGTGAGGACCAGGTGAGGCCGGGCCTGGTTTCAGGAGAGAGCTGCTCTCCCAGGTTCTCCTGCCACAGTCCTGCGGAGGGGGTGGGTGAAGGGTTGGGTAGACTGTTTTCTCTGCCCCAGGTCACTGCCCAGGTGTCGGGGTGAAGTGGTGAGATTGGCTTCATGCTCATTCATAGAGCTGAGGCTTCCGTATAGGCTGGCTGGGGTCTGGGGCGCTGCACTGGCTTTCCTGCCTTCGGCCAACTGCACAGGTAGTTGTCTTATAAATCGACAGAAGGCTTCGGCCGATCGAGGACCTTGGAAAACAGAGTCTCTGTTTGGGGAATCTGACCCCAGGGATGGCTCTAGGGTAAGATGAGTGAGCTCTCAGCCTTGGGCGCAGAATATAAGAGATGCCAAAGCCTCAGTCATCAAGACAGATAATACTTCAGTGCAGTGTTAAAAAGCTAATATGATTGCAAACAACCCACGATGAACAAAATATCAACAATTTAAATAAAGGCAAGATAAGTAACAGCCGCGCTGGGGCCTGAGGCAAAAGGAAAACTTGGTGATACTGGCCCTGTCCTGTCCCACCTGGCCCTGTCCTGTCCCTTCTGGCCCTGTCCTGTCCCGCCTGGCCCTGTCCTGTCCC